GGGGGGGCATAAGGACACATGTAATACCTTAATAAAGAAGAAAAACAAAGTAAACCTTCCTCACATAGACTGGATACCTGGTTGTGTGCCATCTGGATGACCCAGGGAACCTCCAGCCTTCAATCTGAATTAAGAAAGTTTGGGACTATTCCCAGCCATAGGCAACAATAAATCCCTTTTAGAGGTTAAGTATCTCATCCTTGTACTGTTTATTTCTACAAGTAACTTTTCAAATATACTGTCCAGCTCACAGATAACCTGGCATGAAAAGAGAAAAGGCACTATAAACGACAATCAGTAAAAACAACAGAAACATGAAGACTTCAGGTATTAAAATTTTAGACAGCTTTCATACCCTCCCTGCAATGAAGTGCTAATTATTTACAAGTGTGGATTGGGGTGCTTAGCTAGAGCTCTTTCCCTAAGTAAACTTGTTCCTTTCTTCCTGAAGGTGTCAACCTTATCCAAGATCCAGTTTAACTGCAGCTATAGAAGGCTGCAACTGTTCTCAGAAGCTGTTTTCAAGGAATCACCACGACAGCAAAGAAGTCAGTTCTTAAGAACAATATTTAACCAACTCTCTTTAAACTCATGCTATGTTCTGATACACATGTTCTCATAATCCACTTTTGTATTTAAAATTTCAAAGTTAAATATGTCGAAGATAAAATAACTAGTCATTCTAAGCCTTTCCCCCTCTAATAGTATACTCCCTGTCCCCATCCTTTAGAATCATTGCTCTAAGTTCATTACTTTTTCTATAACTCACTTTGGCAGTCAATTTTCATTTGTAGAAAGAGGCTTTTTTCATCACACTTCAAACTGATGTGTAACTCCCCTAGGAATGATAAATTAGGACGTGTCCATGACACGTGGTGCTTGTCGTTTGTGAGCTTTTCAAATGCATATCAATACTACAGTGCAGGGGCTCACAAACTTTTCTGTAAAGGGCCAGAGAGTATTTTCAACTCTGTGGCCCATACTGTCTGTCTCTGCAGTTGCAGTGTGAAAGCAGCCAGATGCAAATGAATAGGTGTGGCAGTGTTCAAATAAAACTTTATTTACAAAAATAGGCCAGTTTGCTGGCCCCTGATTTAGTGAATAACAAAATACAGATTCACTGAAAGGCATCACTGAATTCATTTATCATTCATCTTTTATTGTTTTCTTAGTCAAACACTTAAAAGTACAAATTCTAATAAGAGAATGTGAAATTTTTTTGTTAACAAAGGGCTCTTCATACTGGAAAGTTGAGAATCACTGCTGCAAAGGAAGAATTTGGTCTTCAGAGCTGATGATGACCACTGTAAAGAAACCTCCTGTAACATTTTCAAGTGCATAGCCTATGTCCCAAGCTGTGCTAAATACTTTATTGACATGAATTAATTTAATCTTGCATTTATTTGAAAACAAAAACCCAACGATGTACATACAATTAATCCTTGTTTTACAGGTTAAGAAAACTATGGCTCAGAAAGTTCAGTAACTTGGCAAGGCTCACATAGTAAAATAGTGGCAGGGCAGACTAAAGTCTAGGGTTACAAACATCCAAAGGCCATTCCTTTAACTGTTACACTAACCAACCAATCCTTCCTGGTGGGCAGAGAAGATTCACCATGTGTGGAAGCTGGCCCAAATTCTTATATCCCCTGATGTTCTTCTTGGGGAGCTCTTACCAATTATCACTGCCTCAAAACTTTGATCTCCCCTGAACTCCTCTAACTTAGGGAGGGACACTTACTCCTTAGATTGTCCTTAAACTCAAGGCTTTACTTAAAGAGGATAACAACTAAAACAAACACACAAAATATTTTAACTCACTAAATATGGCTGTTCTGAGACCACTTCTTCCCTGGACCTTGACCTATCCTCATGAGACAAAGATACTTTCCTACATGGGAATGTGCCTTAGTTCAGATTCTAGAAATCAAGGTCTAGAGAAAACTCCTTTTGCTAATCTAAGGCCTATCTTACAAGTCTCCATTTTCTGTTCTAGGATCTGTCTTTTACCTGGATAAAACACTAAGCAAACATGTCTAATCCCTTTAAAGGAGATCCCCAAATCCAACCATGGTGGTGTGGTCTTACCATGTGGCCCCAAAAAGCAACCATATCATAATACAATAGCATGTCATTTTCCTTACCGAAACTTAACTCTATTTCCCAGACAGAAGCTATTCAGTAAGAATGGGGCTGACACTCACAATACTGAGTGAGCACATCACACTGATTCTGTAACAAGAAGACTTAAGTGAGGCAGTGTTCCCTGTTCCTGATCCATCCTTCAGGACTGCTGATGGCCCCCACAGCTGCCCTTCCCTTGTTTTGGTGTGGCTATCCCACTGTAAGGCCACTCCCATTACTGCCACTATTATGTTCCTCTTTTAGGAACAAGTGACTACCCTGGAAAAAGAAGAGATGAAACAAATTGCCCTTCAAATATGAATTAAAATAATTCTTTAATTATCAAAAGATCACTGTTGGGCTTAAAAAAAAAAGTCTGTAACTCTTAAATGTAATGTTAAACTGAGGAAGTGGTTATAGCAGCCTCACATAAATTATTTTAATAAACATCATCACAGTATTAAGAAGGCAAGGTAAACAAATAGCTTAAGTATTTTATTTGTTTGCAACTAAGCTTGTTAACACTATATAATGAAAATGTACAAAGAATAACGTTGCAGTTTTTGGTTAGATTTAAGTCAAAGACATTCATTAATAAGGAATCTTCCAATGTGAATATTCCAGAAATTAAGCCATCTGATGAGAACTGTCTCTGAATATTACCTTACTTTGGAAGGTATTGGCATACATTTTAATTACACTCAGATTTTTCAAAATAAGCTGTAATTAAAAAAACTATTCTATATTCAAACTAAAACAATTTTAATAGAACTTTCCTTTCCAGAAACGATAATAAACAAAACAAGGCATTTGTAAAATGTGGTCCTGAACAAGTCACAGTAAAAAATAAATGTATACTTAACTCCCCCCTCCTCAAAACAGAGGCTTACTTTCTGTTCCTCAGCTTTGAAAACAAGGTGAAGAACAGTCTGTAAGCAACTTTGGGCAGGGGGTTGCCAAAACAAAGCTCAAGCAGTTGAACTTGGACACCTCTTAAAAGAATTTGGGAGAACCTGACCGAAGGATCCAAATCTGTATGTAATAACTGATGCAAAGGTGAAGTGGCTCCTCCCAAGTAGCAGTGCTGCCGGGGCCTGGCCCAGCCCCAGCCCATGCTCACCTGGTCGATGCTCCCGAGAAAACCCTGATGCTCCTGCTCTGGGGAGACTTTTTCTGTTTAGAGGTTCAGTGTCCAGGGAGCTCTGTGTGTGAGTGAGGTGAGCACAGACTCCACATGGGTATTTTAAGGCTTGGAGTCAAAGTATCTTTCCAATACAGCTAGGCAGATTCCATGTGTCAAATGGCCCATCTCCAGTTTATTTTAATTCCTCACCACGCATTTACAGACCTAGGACCACAGACCTTTGCTATGTCATCATAATCACATCTGATGTCCATCCTAATGTATGATTCATATTCTGTGCCTGAAAACAGTCCCTGTATTTAACAATACCTACACATAAAACAACCCACTGTTACCACTTACATGGTCACAAAACATTAATGATCTTCTGTAGATCAAGCAAATGTTTTTAACCATAATTGTCGTGCATCAAATTCACAGCCAGAATCCCCAAGATCAAAAAAAAATTTGCACAATACAAATAATAACTTAAAATACACATACATACATATACATACACTCTCACACACACTTCTTACAGAACTGTGCTTGGGGAAACTCCATTTGTTGAGTGCCACTGAGGGCATATTTTGCTAAACTGCTGCTCCAGGTATTTTGCTTCGAAAATCTATCACAGTAGGGCACAGCTGTTTATTGGATGAGCAGAAAAGAAAGATATGCTTGTGGCAACCAGAAAGTTTTAAGGTCTTTCAAGTTGTATAAAATGGACCTGCAGAAACCTTTAAGTGTTCTCAGGATGCAAAGTTGGAGCTGAAATGTGATATCAAACCAGTTGCAAAAAGTGCACAGCAGCCATCTCTTGAGGTCAAACCTGGTACCCAGATATGCAAGAAAGTTTCAGGACACATCTATAAGTTAGGAATAAAAACACAAAAACGTGTAAAAATATTAAAAAATATAGTGTTGTGCTTTTTAAATAACAACCAATGGTAAATGTGATAAGCTGCATAGATAATATGAATCACCACTTAAAAGGTCCTAAATTCTGAAGAATTTAAGAAATCTGAGTCAGGTTCAGTGGATATATAGTTATTATAATTTATGTTTTGAGTACCTGGTAGTTGCAACATGTTTAGAAGTAAGAAATTCTGTCCACACTCTTGACAAGTTAGTCTAAGAAATCAACTTTCATAAGTTAACAATTGAAACTACCTTTCTGAGGAAAAGCCAGGTAGACTACCTAGGTGTCAATCCTGGCTGAACCACTAGCTACGTAAGCTTGGACAAATTAACTTCTTTAAGTGCTACTGTTACTAGTATAATGGGGCTAACAATAATAGTTCTTCCCTCATAGGGTTTGGCATGGTGCTAGGCATGTAAATATTCTTTACGTGCTAGCTATTATTTTACTTCACAAGGGCTTTTTGCTATCAGGAGACAAGGTACTCAGTTTTAAAATTTTGCTCTTGGAAGTTGGGTAATTCAAAGAAACTTGGCAATACTTACAGCTGGTGGGCCTTGTCCCGTATCGTCGCATAATCTGGTCGTGTGTGAATTTCACAAAAGATTCATATTGTTCTGTGAGGGAAAAGACAGTATATACTATTCCCGGAAACTCTCCCCAGTTTTCAAGAATCAAGTGTCAGGATCACATCTAGCTTCCCTGTTTATTTATTCCCAGGACCTCCTTACAACAGTCACTCTTGAGATTTGTTACTTCCTCTTAGATGCCAGACCCAAATCCCTGGCTCCTAGATTTAACCACTATCACCTATAACAGTGATGGCGAACCTTTTGAGCTCGGTGTGTCAGCATTTTGAAAAACCCTAACTTGACTCTGGTGCCGTGTCACATATAGAAATTTTTTGATATTTGGAACCATAGTAAAACAAAGATTTATATTTTTGATATTTATTTTACATATTTAAATGCCATTTAACAAAGAAAAATCAACCAAAAAAATGAGTTCGCGTGTCACCTCTGACACGCATGTCATAGGTTCGCCATCACTGACCTATAACATAACATTTTCCTAATAATCTTGTCCCTGCTGTAACTCTATCCCCTACTAATGGCTTCCTAAGACAGACAGACATGCTCACTTCTACGCCAGTAAATTTTAGGATATCTCCTATAAAACATGAAGCTTGAAGCCCTTTACTGCACTCTACCATGGCTATAAATTTCATCATACACATTGAGTGAAAAGGTGGGATGGCTAAAAGCTAGGAGA